AAAATGATACACACCTGGTAGCGTTCTAAAGTACAGATGTGATAGAAAAGCTACGTCTTCTGGGTTATAAATTAAGGTAAGAGCAGCAAATTAACCTATTCGCATGACAGCATTTAAAGTGAATGTAAAGTCATACTAAGATATAAACGTTCTAAACAGCAATGCGGAGTACAGCTTCTAGTGGCAGAAGGTGAATGTAAAGCGGATATTCATCAGCAAACGTTTGCTGTTTATGGTACTGTCTAAGATAAACAGCTGTAAATTAATGGTATTAATAATGTTTTGGTTAAGAATTGGCAGCAATAGAGAGATTTTATATAAAAATTTGTTCGACGGAAAGCCGCAACGCTAACTTTATTTTCTAACCCTAAGCGGCACTGCTGTTTTTGTAAAAATATTTTGCGCATGCGCTGTGATGCTCAAAAAGCATTAAAGTTAGAGAAAAACGTAACGCAAAATCTATGCAATACTGAGTCTATCAATACACAGATCAAGTAAGCGCATTAAACTCAAATGAATTAATTGCTGCTACGGTTGAAATGATAAGAAATCATCAGACTTAAGACTCATGATACGTACTTAGCACTCTATCTGACATGAGTAAAAGAGTGATGAAATCACTTATTGGCACTAAAAATCGCACTAGTACGTGATGTTCTGCTTTCTTAACTCAACTTTACATTCACTTTAAATGCTCTCATGTGAAATTATTATTCAGTTATCCGGTACACTCCTCTTCCTTTACTAAATAACCCAGAATGAGGGTGCTGTTGTAGTTGTCATCATGCTATGTTTGGACGCTATCCTGCTAGTTTGGATAAAAATCACTTATTACTTAATCTGTAATTTTTCCAAATAATTATTGTTTAACGTAGTTCACATCTTAACGTTTTTAATAAATTTTATTTCAAACTAGCGCTATAATTTTTCAAATCTCATGAAAAAGATAGGGAAAAAAAACCGTCAAGCATGTTTTCGATTAAAAAGATTATTTCGATATAGTTTTCAAAGCAGAAGAATTGTATATTATAGCATGAACTGAAAAATGTTAATTAATTTTAGAAAATTATTTTTGAATAAAATGATGAGGATGTGTTAAAGTTTTTGATATAAAAAAATGACTGATTAAAATAATGATTATTTCTCGCGAACTATTCGACCGATTTTGTTCAAATTTCTATTTCTCCATATAAAATTACATTATTTAAAATTATGTAAAAATCTGTATACCTTACAACTCAAAATGTTTCGACCATTAATAAATAAAAATATAAAAACAATAAATATTTTTTTCATGGAATTTTCTTTGGATAAGCGAATTGTATAATTGCGTGCAAAAATTTTTTCCACTCGCTTAAAAAGTTCTCGAGATATGGCAAAATATGTTTAATAAAAAATTACAATTAAGGGGTCCAAACTTTCGACCGCTCTTCTGACCAAACTTTTAGGACCATATTTCCCGAATTGAGGGAACCTCCTATGTTTTGGGCTGTCAGAAATCATAATACGTCAAAAAAAGCTCGTTTATTCAAAGTACGTTTTGTGTCCGATTTTGTAGCTTAAATTATCGTCTGCTCTAACTAAGTAGCATGTTTGAGATCACCTTCTCAAATCATTAAGATTGAGTCTTAGTACCAGAAAATCCGATCATTAGAGCAAAAGTTATTTAAGTTGTTTCGTTTATTTTTTGCACACTATACAACGTGCTCATAATTCAATACGCATGCAACGTTCACATGAAATACACAAATATTACATATTTTTTTTACAAATATTCTGTGAAATAACTAAGTTTTCAAATAATAAAAAACTATGAATATTTCCATAGAAAAAGTCGAATAAATTTATGAACAACTAGACAAACTCTTAAACCATTTGCGTTCCATACATTCTTCATAAAGCTGAAGTTATATATTCTTTACGAAATAAAAACTTCGAAGAAATATATAGACGTATAAACGTCAAAATATTAGGCAGGTAAATTTATTTAAACGGGGAATAAAAAGTATTTCCAGTTACCTGTTTACATAAGTTGAAATATTTCATGTTACAGATAAACGGACGTGCAACGCATCAAAATCTCACTCAAGCCTCAAGGATACAGAAGGGCATTACGTTATTGGATTGCTCGCCTTGTGTTCGTTATGTCAGTTATTTTATTACCATCGTCCATATAGCATAATACGTTGTGAATAATTACGAAATTCGAGAACCACGCTTAGCATTCTAACGACACCAGGTAGCCTTCGTTTTAATCCCTGGGATTCGGAAAACAATCCTTTATTAAATTTAGATTCCTGCCAAAAGCTTCAAACAGAATCTCTATCACTTTTGAAGCCTAGTTGTTGTGGCAGGTGAAATTTAATATATGCTTTTGTGCTTTTAAACAGTTGAAATCATACCGTTAGTTTTTTTAAAAAAATTAACTTCGTTCTTTGTTCGTCATGGTTAATGCAGGTGAATCTGCTTAAAATGATTTAAATATTTTTACTGGTTTTTTTTTCTCTCCTTTAACTTCGTTCTCTCTCATTCGTGGTTAATGTGAGTAAATCTGCTTAAAATAGTTAAATAAATAGTTTGAGGGTAATATTCGATTCTTAGTTTTTTAATTAACTTCGTTCTTTGTTAGTCAAGGTTAAATGAAGGTGAATATGTTTATCCTTTTGTTAGTTTTTTAAATAAACTTCGTTCATTGTTAGTCGTTCGTTCATTGTTGGAAATCGCTTGAAATAGTTTAAATCCTATTGTTAGTTTTTTTTTAATTAACTTCGTTCTTAGTTAGTCATGGTTGATGCAGAATAATCTGCTTAAAATGGTTTAAATATTTTTCTTAGTTATTTTTTTCTTTTTTAATTAACTTCATTCTCTGTCAATCGTGGTTAATGAGGGTAAAGCTGCTTAAAGTGGTTAAATAAATAGTTTGAGGGTAAATTCTTATTGTTAGTTTTTTACTATAACTGTAATTATTAAGTTTACCAATAATTGTTAAATAAAATTACTGTTTCAAGTTGTCAAACGAAAGGACCAACTATTTTATTGAACTGCGATGCAAAGAGCGAATAAAAATAAACTAATAAAGAAATTCTAAAACATTAATATTATACTTTTTATAAATTATAAAAAAATATTGGGTTAAAGTCAATATCGTATACTTGTGACACTTGTTATAAAAATACCAACTTAAACAGTTTCAAATTACGTTTCTCCTTCTGTGTATGGAAGGAATAGCTGACAACGGCCTTTAAACATTAATTAAACATCAGTGTAGGAAATACCGGACAATGACCCATACATTCATGTCCCTGACGGTTTTTATCCCGTTCTATTCGTTTTTCATTAACATTACAAGGCGATAATTAAAAATGTATGTCTTTCTAATTAAAGAAATCAAAATAAAATATGAACCTACTTATTCCAATAAGAAATTATTTTAGACTAGAGCCGTGGTGGCTCAGGGGATAGAGCGTTCACCTTCCAATGGGGTGATTCCCAGCGATGGCTGGTCGATTCGAATTCCGCACCTGGCTCGCACCTACCACAGTGCTTATTTAAATTATCCTCAGTGGTAGACGGATCATGGGATAGTTCCCTAGCCACCCGACTAACCGTCGGAGGTCTACGGTGTTTTCCTCTCCATGTAACACAAATGCGGGTTAGTTCCATCATAAAGTCTTCCGCGAAGACAAAATGTTTCCCAATACTTGATCCTGGAGTTCCCTTGTCTACTGGATTGGTTTCAGAATTACAAGGCTACAGAGTTGAAAATCGATAGTCGTAAACTCAACACCGGTTATAAAATAAAATAATAATCAGACTAGTTAAAAATATTTTTAAAAAATCATATTCTGCCATTGTACGCTATGTAGAATGTTAAACTTTGTTGGTAATACATAAGTATATTCATTGTAGTGTCTTTTTTATATCATTTTAAGCAAAATAACGAACAATAAATTTCGAGTATTATTTAAGTGTTTGACGTCATTGTGCGAGGCCTTTCTCAACTAGGTTACATAGATTAAACTATAAGAGTACTGAACTTTGCGATTACAGCAACATTAATTTTTGACTGCTTGGAGGGTTTCAAACCTGCTATTTGACGTCATAGCATTCACTCATGACGCAGATTCTCATATATTAATCCTTAAAACAAACATAAATTAAGAGAAGTTTTTCCCCTAAATGAGAAAGTACGTGAAAGTTTGCTAAATTTCGACAATGTATAATAAAAATATTAACTTGTTAAAGTCAGTATAACAGGTATTTAACCATCAACTCAGCATTATCTTAAACAGTTTTGAAAACTGATCTCCATCCTCTGAAAGTGCCATGAATTGCACTTACGAAGCTTGGTATTTATTTCGCTTGGCTTTTGATTGCAATCTTAAAGTGCAAGCTTTGTATCTAAAGTTGAGGACTAAAACCAGGTCTACTTTGCCGAATGGTGTAAACGCATATTTCACATACGTATTTGTATTAAGAGAAATATTTCTCGAAATTTAAAATGAGTGAAGAGAGATCCGGAATTGTTTATATGTAATAGCGTGTTAGAAACTTGTTACTGTGCGGGGATACGTGATGGTCGATAGACAATTTTCTACACGCAGAGCTATCAGAAGATGAAGATTGTTATCGTTAAAAACGTTCTATTTTTAGTAAATTTGAAAAATAGTTTTTTGATTTAGCTAATTTTAAAAGCATTTTAGGGAGGAAAAAAAAGATAAATTCTATCCAAATCTAATAAATTAAAACTCGAGAAAAAATCTAAGGAGGAGAGAGAATGCCTCCTACTATCAGTAAGCAATCAAACTTATTTTGGTGTATTTTCATCCGCCATTTCGATAGTATCTTTGTTTCTTTCTTTTGCTTAAGAAAATTAAAGTGCAGTGATTAAACAACATCTTGCATTGCAGATCAAAATGCGAATGATCCGTAGAAAGTGAACAGCTTGTAAATCAGATAGCGTACGATCAGAATGTTAAAATGAGTTCTTTTTATTTCAGTGCCCAGCTATCATGGTCGTCATTTAGTCCAAGATGTCCCTTGGAATTACTGTCCATCTACTTCTCCGCCGAAGCAAATAGACGGTAACAAGCCGATCATCAGACAAATCGATCTCTCAATACCACCGCCACCCTATATTCCATGCGAGGTGAGTCTTTAATTTTGTACATTTTAACTTATATCAAATAATTCTTTAACCTCTATATCATAAGAGAAAGGTTGCACAAGATCAGAAAAGAACAGAGACTGTTCTGCAGTGAAATTAATGCGCAGAACATATGCACGTGAAAGTGCTTCATGCCTATATTGTCTTATACAAGGACACGCTTTACGTTGTTTAGTGAAAATGTCAAATAATCCACTAAAAGCCTTGATGGCCCAGGGGATGCAGAGTTCACCTTCCAATGAGGTGAACCGGGTTCGAATCCCAGAGAAGACTGGTCGATACGAATTCTGCATCCGGCTTGCACCGACCACAGCGCTGACTTAAAATATCCTCGTGGTAGACAGATCATGGGTTAGAATCCCCTTGCCGTCAGGCTAACCATGGGTGGTTTTCGTGATTTTCCTCTCCATGTAACGCAAATGCGGGTTAGCTCCATCAAAAAGTCCTCCACGAAGGCAAATTTCTTCCAATGCTTGATCCAGGAGTGCCCTTGTCTTTTGGATCGGGTTCAAAATTTCAAGACTACGGAGTTGAACATTAGTAGTCGTAAACCCAAAATTGGGTCGGCTGTTCAATGACGGTTATAAAATAATCCACTAATCATGGGGGGGGGAGGATTTATCAGAGGATTTCCTCTCCGTTAATACTCAATCGAAACAATTTTGATAAATTCTTTTCCCCATTCGTACATGTTTTTTCCCTTCCTTTGCTAAGTACCGAGATGAATTTTCCCCATGCCACCGTAGTTTTCTCTTGTTAGGGGATTGTATCACTTTTAATAAAAATGAGATTGATTGACAATTTTTTCAAAATTTAGTATTTTGCAGGAATGTTCCGATATTTGAAAATTATTAGAATTTAATATTGAATCGCTTTGAAGAAATGTCTCCAAGCACAAAAAAAGGCATTTTAATACTGAATATGTGCTTTCTTAATAAATAAGCTTTCAATTTTAATTATTTTCAAATATTAATATGTAAATAATTTCTCTTAAAATTAATTACGCAAATCCATATAACGTAGATAATGAATAAGGAATTTATAACAACGGACTGAAATATAAATTATCCCTGATCAAAATTTCAGACAATGTTAAAGCTATTTTCAATGAACATAAAAATGAATATTGAACTGAATGCAGATGTTTACGCAATACCCGTGTGTGGTTATATAGCGCCAAACTTGAGGTATAAATTTACGATTTTGTGAATTCTAAGGAGAACAACTGAATTGTGCTGCTATAAGCTATATCTGAGCCGTGGTGGCTCATGGGATAGAGCTCACGCCTCCCAATGAAGTGAGACGGGCTCGAATCCCAGTGATGACTAGAATTCTAATTCCACACCCGGCTTGCATAGACCACAGTGCTGACGTAAAAATATCCTCAATTGATCAATGGATCATGAGTTTAACCGCGGGAGGTTTTCGTGGTCTTCTTCTCTTCATAACGCAAATGTGGATTAGTTCCTTTAAAAAGTCTTCCTTGAAGGCAAATTTCTCCCTACACTTGATTCGGGAGTTCCCTTGTCTTCTGGATTGGGTTCAAAATTACAAGGCTACGGAATTGAACATTAGTAGCCGCATTGAATATTAGCAAACTCAAAAAATTTGGGTCAACTGTTCAACGAGGGTTATAAAATAAAAAATAAAAAAATTTAAAAAAAACTATATAGCCTATATCTGATGTAGAAGCAAAAGATGAAAAAACCCAAATGAAAAAAAGAAAGAAAAGAGTACTTGAGGGTCGTGGTATATATATTCAGTATCAACTTGAAGAATATAAGAGGGGAACATAAAAATAAGAAAGTTTATAAAGTATTATTGTAGTACTATTTCCAGTGTAAATTATAATGTATCTGAGTAATGAATTCATAATAAACTCCTCGATATTTTCGAAATGCCCATGTTTTGTTTTGTTTTATCTTTTTATTCATAATTACAATAGTGCTTTATTTTTAATTAGGAACGTCGACTCTCTCGCAGTAACTCAAGGGACCAATTCAGTATCGCAACTAGCCCAAGTTCCGTTGACCACAACATGAACGAAATGCAAGCATTGGTAGCTTCCATAACCTCCATGCCATCCAGCGTCAACAGCTCCCCAAAAAGCGACGTCCCCCGAAAAGACTCAGACACCAAAGACGCCCAATCGATAGCAGACGTCGATTTCACGTCGGATCAACCAGACCAGGACATCAAAACACTGGACAAGAACCTGCAGGAAGAAAGACCCACATTCCAGAACCTAGGGGACAAAGTGGACGTGGGACCCAAACCACTCTACAACTCTGCTGGAGATATCGACCTGCACAGCGTCATGTCTATAGAGCTGTTGGAAGAAGAGAACGAGATGGACGAAACGTGTGGGGACAACATAATGAAACGAATCGAGATCAAAACACACGACGTCATGAATCGAGTCACAGAGATGAACAAAATAGTGAAAGATGCGCAGCTGTATTTACAAAAGGACAGTTGTGATTCGGAGAGGCAGCAACGCAAAACTGGTGACCTCGGACTGAAGTCGAATGATTCGCTGCTCTTCATTCAGCGTCATCAAACAGGCGAAGAGTATAATAGTGTAGTGACAACCTGCGGCGAATCACTACCATCAGAAAGTGAAGCAGAAAGTACTCCAACTAACAGTCCAACACACGCGACCATGCTGGCTACAGAAGGCCATGACGCGAACTTCAAAAACTTGTGTTCCAGTTTCGGACTGCATAGTCCGCATCTACTCATGTCCTCTTTGCAACAGCAAGAACCTACGGAGGACGTCGAGGAATTGCTAAGACAGTTGCAAACGTCAACGAGTTTGCAATTCGAAGGAGATACTCTGTGTCTTGATCCGGATATTATTGATTTGACTATCATACCACCACCTTCGGACGACGTAGATTTCTGTTGCGTCCCCCCGGATTCTGTGGACAATAACAAATCTTTTCTGGACCAGGAAACAGGTCAACGGAGGGACTTCTATTGTACAGAAAATACTAGTAAGTTATACATTTGGCTTCTTTTTTTACAGTTGAAAATATTATTTTAAAGAACTTTCAAATTAATTGTAAATAATTAACATTTGTTTTTTTACAGAAAATGTGAGATTACAGGCTAATAATGTTTTGCTTAGAAATATATATTAAAAAAGAAGATTTACACTACACTATTCACAATATATCATTTTTAACTAGAATAATCCGTAATGTTGATTGTTTTATGACAAAATTAAATTATATTATATATCATTATAATCTCATACTTAAAAGTAAGCAGCATTAACTTTCTTTTCATTTAGTTTCTAATTAGAAAACTTTTATTTAAAAGAACTATGTTCGAGTAACAGTATAATCAATATAGATAATGTATAGAATAATCATATTCTACATCAGGGGTTTCCAACTGGTGGCCCGGGGGCCGCATCCGGCCAGCGAACTAAAATATATTAGTTGTCATTTTTATGCGGATAATTTTCGCAAAAAGTCTATATGGGTTTAAAATACTTTTCTCGTTAATAAAAGCCTAATTTCTTCGTTTCTGTGAAATTTACCAAAGGTGCAAAGAAATTTATTTCTCAGGTTTTGCATCCAAGAAAATATTAAAATACAAAAATAATCGTGTATGTTGCTCTTTTTTATTTCAGTTTTTTGTGCTTTGTGAATATAGTTTAGCATGTGCTTATCAGATTTTTTCTCGAAGAAATTCTCCGATTTAACTTTTTGAAACCACTCATTTTGGACGAAAATATTTACACACACATTTGTAAATTTTACATTTAAAATGTAAATATCTATTCTCTGGTGGTTGCAGCAGACAAACCTCAATTTTCTCATTGAATATTTTGAGTGCTACTATGTAAGTTTTAATACCAAACTTTTTAAAATTTTATATCTTAACAATTAGATATCTTATTACATTAATTGCTTAATTCATAGGTGCACATCAAAGTTATTGTAGCCCGAATTTTTATTATTTATTTAATATTTTTTAAAATATTATTAATAACAATTAAATATTTTTAAAAATCTACTTCTTATNTGAAGAAATTCTCCTATTCAACTTTTTGAAACCACTGATTTAGGACGAAAATATTTACACACACATTTGTAAATTTTAAATGTAAATATCTATTCTCTGGTGGTTGCAGCAGACAAACCTCAATTTTCTCATTGAATATTTTGAGTGCTACTATGTAAGTTTCAATACCAAACTTTTTAAAATTTTATATCTTAACAATTAGACATCTTATTACATTAATTGCTTAATTCATAGGTGCACATTAAAATTATTGTAGCTCGAATTTTTATTATTTATTTAATATTTTTTAAATATTATTAATAACAATTAAATATTTTTAAAAATATACTTCTTATTTTGATTTGTAATTCAATACTTTTTTTTTTGAACAACTTTTTGTTTTGTAAAAATCTGACAGTAATATTTAATGACCCTTCAAACATAAAAAAGGCCTACATAAAATTTTGATAAAGTTGCGGCCCGCCATTTGATTCGTGTTTTTAATTCTGGCCCCCGGCCTCATGTAAGTTGGAAATCCCTGTTCTACATACATCCCAAATAAATTATTAATGGTAACGACATTAAGGTTATACAACCTGCAACCCAAGTTTCAAATTCACCCTCCCCCGCCTAATATTCAGAAATTTAAAAATAAAGAAAAAAAATAACTAGTGTAAGAAATTTTATAATTATCTTTTAAATTAAACAATAGCGTTTTTTGAAAAAAACGCTGATTTTATAACAATAGAGAAGTCAATTCGAAATGTCAAATAATTTATTTCCTACGACGTTGGGATTTTTCTACTTTTAAAGAAGATTCATTGAACATTAAAAATTTTAAGTAAAAAAAAAATTATACAAATTTTTGACAGAAAATAAAACATTTAAAACTGCGAAAATTTAACTTTTTTGAAAAAGACAAGATGTGCAAAATTTGAAACGATTTTTTTTTTTAAATTGAGAATATTAAACATTTTTAATAAATAATTGTAGTAAATTTTCTTTTCATTTTTAAAATAAAACAACATTTTTACATCAAGAATTAAGTTATTAGGTAATATAAAAACTGTATCATTTCTGCTTCCTATATAAAATAAAATTAAAAAACATTCTGTGCCCAATACTATTTTAATAACATTGGCAATATTTAAACAGATGCGCAGATAATTCTTGTCCATAAAATAAATTAATAAAAAATTTTGTTAGTTTTTTTATTCATTTGTTTTTATAAATCTTATCTGTTGAGTAAAGAATGTATAATATAATCGATTCGTAAACCATTATTTAAATAAATACAAGAGATTTAAACGCAAAGATAAATGATCTACATTTAAAACAAAGAAAACTGTTTACATTGTTGGAAAAAGTGTACTCTCACATTTCTTAGTTTTTATTGCATTTTTGTCAGTGAGTCTTTTTTCGAAAGTGAAATTGTTTTCTCAAATGACATGACGTTTCATGAATACAAACATAGTTTCAGGTCAAACATAGCTGCAGGGAAAAAGACCTAAATTGTTTTATTGTTTACATTCTACAGTCAATTGAATTGAGTTATAAAAAATAAATTATCCCTCTCTTTTTCTCTAAATACTTGTTTATTTAAAACTTAATTTAAGAAAGAAAACGCTTATTTGACAAGGCTTATTTTTGTTAATTTTTTAAATATAAAAGTGCCATTTTGGAATTTAGCAACCATCTTTTTTTTTTTTTTAATTCAACGAGAAATTTAAATTCTAACGCAGTTGTGTTATTTAATCAATATTTTTTTAAAAGCATAACAAACAAAACTCATGAATTTAAGTCTTAACTTTAATAAAACATGTGAACACATTATGGATTTGTTGCATTTTTAGGTATTTTATATTTTATCTTTCACGATTGCGATGTGATGAAGTTTTAATTAAAAAAAATTGCTCGTTTAGAATTGCTTACATTGAAATTTTTGTTTCGTTCGATTTACTAATATTTTAATTTAGTTAATCAAAGAAATATTTGTAATGTTTTTTTTCTTTAATTTTGAAAAGTATTATTTATTTAAGTTAGTCGTTTATAATAGAAACGTGAAAAATGGTGCTCATTTAGAACTAAATCTGTTCTTTTTTTTTCTTTAAAAAATTTATCAACTCAATGAAATTAAAGATAAATTCTTTTTTTTTATTTATATGTTTTCTTTTTCATTGTTTAGTGAAAATCTAATCTCACAAATTGGCTTTTATTTACGCGCAATTTTTGGTAATAATTTTTCGCACTGACATATAACGTTCGCTTCTTTGATCTCAATATTTATCATAATTTTGCTGACTATTAATTGCTTGCAAACAATTTGTTAATGGCTTGCAAACAAATTGTTTTTTTTTCTTCCTATTTTACTTCATCTTTTCCTTTCTAAATTGAAAAGAATAATGTAATTCCATCGACATTTAATAACTTTTTTTTAATCGTTTGAATTTTTCTGAGTATTACTGGTTATTCTCAGTATTCTCGACATTATTATTTATGAGGGGGAAAAAAACAACCATTTTGCTTAATTTCTCTCAGCATCTTACTAGCTTGTTTATCGTGTTAATAATCTGATTAAACTCATATTTAGATAAAATAATTTGTTTCTTTCGTAATAAACACTATATCTTACAACGCAAAAGAAACTTTATTTAAAGCAAATTTTATTTTTAGAAAACTTTAATTTCTTGCATTACTTTTTAAAAAATTTAAAATTTTTGTTAATTTCTAAGGCAGTAGTTAATTTGTTCGACTATTATTAAATAAAATAATAAACATTTACTTAATATATTCTGGATGGAATAATCTTTGGATAAACGAATTTTATAATTGTCTGCAAAATTTTTTAAAATTGCTTAAAAAGTTCTCGAGATATGGTGAAGTACGCAAAAAGTAAAATTAACATTAGGGGGTCCAAACTATGGGGATCATATTTCCCAGATTGCGGCTACCGCCCATATTTTGGGAGTCAAAAAACGGAATTCGTCGAAAAATGATATGTTTATTCAGCGAAAGTACGTTTTTGTGTCTGATTTCGTAACTTAAAATATCGTCTGCACTCATTATTGAGTCTTAGAACTCGGAAATCCGATCATTAAATCAAAAGTCAGAATGGTCCGTTTTTTTAGGGGGAGGGAAACGCACTGTATACTTATGAAAAAAAAAAAATTTTCAATGCATATTAAAAAAATTAACGTCTTCGGAGAAATTTGAGGACACATGTTAGAATTTAGAAACATTTTCGGTACTCAACGAGTTTGAAAGTTTTTGAGGACAATCAATGAAATTCGAGGACTGTTTCACGATTTGAGGACGTCTGGTCATCTCAAATTAAACATTATTTTTTTTTTCCTTTCTTTTTTATAATCTATATTAAAACATTATATGATTGTAACTCGACTTAATGTTTACAACACAACAAAACATTGCCATTGCTACAACACGTACGAAAACATCATTAGCTTCTTTTGTCTTAAATAAGATGCAAACTCAGCTGTTCTTTCTCATCTTGTTTTGAAAAAGTTGAGTTTTTGTTTCCTTTTCCCTCATACTATTTGATCTACATACGTGATATAGCCAGCTAGCATATTTATGAAATTTGCGGAGATGCAGAACTCGGTTGAAACATTCAAAATTGAAATAATCCTTAAAGCCAAACAAAACCCGCCAGCGGAATAAAGACGTGGAAGCCAAACAAAGTCGTCAAAAGAATTGTACTAGAAAGAGAAGAAAAAAAATGGAAAAGATACTTTCTGTCTACAGAATAAAGAATAAGCTCCATTGAATGTGTGCGTGGTGTCACAAATCACTCTTAAGTATTACTGTCACTATTTCTTTCTTTCTTTTTCATTTTCTTTGAAGAAGATCTCTTCCTAATTGGTGGCTCCCCACTTGTTATAGTCCCTAGTCACAGCAGGCAATGTCAGTAAGCCACAAAAAAAAAATTTTTTTGAGCAGAAAAAATAAAACTCGCAGTAAGAAAAGGAATACTCCTCTATGGTTTATTTTCCCCTTTATCGAATTGTAAACTACTATTTCTAACTTAAATGATGGCCAGTATATCTTTTATCTAACTAAATAATAGTTAACATTTAATATTTTTACGGTATGAAACATTTTATTTCAATTTTTAAAAAATGCATATTCTAGGCTGTTGTATGGATGGGTGACTGAATGTAAACAATAAGAATGTTCCTAAAATCGGTATAAATGTAGAAAGTCCCCGGTGTATCCCTCCGCTTATGTTACGTTTACAGCGCGATGTATGAACAAGCTTGAGATTCTAGGAAGTTTTGTGATTTGTGTTTAAATTTACTCGTAATTTTACCATTCATAAGATTTTTCTGTAAATTACAAATTCTAAATGGTGGACTTTTTAGAATTTAGGATAACTATTATCACAGAAGCTATCCTAAAGCGTAAGGTTTGTCATGCTTTAAGTATTATCCTTTCTTTAGCCCATATCTGTTTAAAATATCGTCGTTTGTTATTGGGTAGCATCCAAGCATGTTTGTGTGGAATTATCAGTTTTTCTTTTACCTGTTTAAGCTGTGGGGATGCGATTGTTCCTGTGTCACAGTGGCGCCATCTATGGCCAGGAATTCGACTTCTGCCACGCCATTCATACAACCACAACCCGCTCATAGGGCGGGTCACATACTCACACAAAGGAGAAAGGACATGGAACACACATAGAGGGAGAAAGAAACATCCATGCCTTACCCGGGATTCGAACTTAAGACCTTTCTGATGCAAGGACAGTTCCCTGTCCCCTACACAGGCCGGTCGGCGAATTATCCGTTTTCTGATAAAATTAAACGGATTAAGCTGAAATGAAAGAGCGTGTTATATTGTAAACACTGACGCGCTTTTTCGAACAGAGGTGTAAAAATAAATCGGGAGTTGAACACCGGTTTAACAACAAATAGTAACCCCTAACACCACTTGTGCTTAGCTTTACGCGGTCAACTATGCGTCTATTGTTTCTATCGATAGCGAAATTATACGTAATTCACTTCTATATCGACCTAAAATAACAGTTTCCAATAGCCAAATTTTTGTAATGTTGCCCGTTTTGACAGAATCGCTACTAACAATACTTTTGGTATACCTCATTATACTTACAAAAGATTTTTTTTTTCTATACGTTTCTGTTATTTACAAAGATTTTTCTATTAGATGCTTACATGAATGTTTAAACGGATTCAAAGATTGCAAGTGCGGAATATTTAGCGTATAAGTCAAAATCGATTAAATGCTTCACTTGACGTATCTTTTTCTCCCGTTTTGTGATATGTATTTTTTAAGTTTTTTAGTCAAAGCAATTTGATTGACTTAGGGACTTTATTTCCAATAAAGTGCTCAAGCAAAACCAATAACCCAAGTCAAATAAAGTCAAAACCAATATCTCGAAAAATTAGTATTTACATCACTAAATAACAGAGCTATTGTCGACTACAACTAGTTACCGACCAGCAGGGTCATGGAAGTTCGACACCGACGGCATACTGATGGCAATGTAATAATCATTGCTCGCCGACCATCTTTACTTCTAAGACACGCTGGTACACGCTGTCTGACAACACGCTTCCTTAACGGATCGAACCCTGATCAAACACAACTACTGCTCCTTGCCTTAATCATTTCGTCATAGCGGGTCAGTTATTAAATAATAATAACTTATTTCAGAAGAAAATCTCTATCTTGCCGGATAATATACTGTAAATCTGAACATTGCCTTTGTACTAAGGCAAGGAAATTGATGAGATATGATTGAAATATAAAGAAACCACTTTCATTGTAGAATGATTAAATAAATTATAAAGAATTAGGCAGCATATTTAAAGATCACAAACATGGCTATATTTATAACTTAAATATTATGTTAACAGATCATTAGGCAATCCTTAAAGTTCCGAACCCAGCATTATTCTTTTAAAAAAATAGAAAGCATTTTTTTTGTGGGGGAAAAAAACAAAAACAAGACGGTTAGAGTATAGGTGGGGCCCAACAGTTATCACGTTAAATTCCAATTACCAGTAAATGCGTGCTTACTAACCAACGCTTAGGAACGAAGATTAGGAGAGATCCAAAAATTGGAGAGTTATCGATAAATACTGCAGCCTAAAATAAAACGAAGCCCACGTTATTTACATTGAATTTTAAATAATCTGGGTACAAATTAATCACTAAAAAGACCGTTAGAATTCAATATAACCCTGTGACCGAAACGTTAAATGTGGTAAAAAAAAAAAAATAAAGCAGCTTAAAGAAAATGAAGTTTTAAAAAAAATTTGGATTTCGATGTTAGTTCGGCCGTGACACTGAATTAATAAGTTATGCACTTAAATTGAATAAAAAGTTTATCCGTTACATTGATTGTTGAGAAATGAATATAAAAGTATTTGCATTCGTTTTCTAGAAAATGTGATAAAAATGAAACAATTGACGTAATTTAATTATTTCAAGATTAAGAATAGTTTTAAAAAAATTTAAATTTATGAAATCAAGGAAATTTAAAAGCTAGGAAATGTGCCTGTAATGGCTTTACTATCTTTATCAGTTATCGTGTTTATCTTTTTTTTATTCTATGTATTTGATAGATTTGGAAATAAAACTTTCAATTTTAGAGCAACGCGATTACGATCAATTAAAATTTTAAAATACATTTTCTTTCCAGTCCCCGAGGATCCAGACATGGACGAGAATGGAATCGTCTTTTCAGCATCATCCACCGACACTACTCCAAGTTCATCTCTCACTATCTCTTCTCTCTCATCCAGCAGCGAAACACTCACAGCGGCTGAAGACGATCTATCGGCCTACATCATTCCTCCACCACCCCCAAGCTCCATAGGGATTGTGGAAGAACAAAACCGAGTTCTTGCTCGATTCAGGCAAGCTGCTGAAGAAATCCGTCGTATGATGGCGCACGGAAACGACAACCTTGCTGGATCCAAATATTCTGAAAGCATGAACTCCGTAAGCAAGTTCTGCACCATTCCTCGAAGACATGAAGAAAACCACAGACCTCCCCTGTCATCTCTGTCTTCAATGGTGACACCAGTGAGAGACGGCCGGTCAGCAACTTTCTCGGGTTGTCCTGCAACACCTGAAGAGGCAACTGAAGCAAAAGCAAAGGAGGATCCTGTAAACGGATCCAGTGTGGATTCAGAGACTGGCGTGACATGGAGGCCTCAACCACCTCCAAGGGTGAAAAGAAATTCTATTATTGCTGATACTATGATGGAATCGAGAAAGAATTCGATTAGCAGTCACAATGGAGACTCCAGACGAAGCTCTGCAAATCCTGGAGAACATTTTTCATTGCCAGTTCAAAGAATAAATGAGCAGACTAGTCAGGTAAGAAAACGATACTGTCTAAACGAAACCATACCTTGAATTGTGCATAAATTAATTTCATTATTTATTAGAGATATCTGTAGAGACAAAGAATATTCCAAAAATTACCAACTACAGCAGCGCCATGTGGGCGACCTTTATAACATGGAACATAGTGTACATAAATTTCCTGCACAACAAACCACACTTTTCTATCTCATCTTTTTTTTCTTTAAAATAATTTCCAAACAGGGCAGAATAAAATTGCATCATTAATGCATAGTAATAAATGCCTTTAATAAAAGTTTTTTCATTTTATTGAAGTTTAAAAAGTTAAGAGAAGATTTTGTTACTAAATTAGCAGCACCATATATTAACAAACTATGTAAATTATTTAGGAATATGGTGAATATAATTTCCTGGTTAATTGTCCAAATTTCTTAAGTAAAAAGCAATAAATCGCGGATTTTGAACCCCTCCGCTTTTCATTGGTAAATTTTACAAACCTTCAGTCACTTCTAGGACGCAGTGAAATTGCATCCATAAATACGGCATAATAATAGTGCATCGAATCAAAGCTCGTTCATTTTCAGAAATTCAAAAAATGAAAATTTTGTCCTCTCCTAGTACAAGATTACAGTAGAAATAACGTATCCTTTTTAAAATCATTTGAGAAGAAGCTAGGCAAACCCGTAAAAATACAAACTAAGAAGTTTTGGGAAATGTTCACGTAAAAATTTTAACAATAGACATAATATGGTTATGCACCAAGTTTTTTAAGAAGCATAAAAGTACTACTAAGAGGAAAACAGTGTGGTAGAAAGGTAATCAAGATTTTCTTCTTTTTTTTTAGGTTTAAAAGGGTTTAATATAACCCGTATTATAAACAGAATGTTCCGTAAAGACCGATCGCAATGCACATTTTTAGAATCCTTATAAAATATGAAGTCATAATGCACGTTAGTTGCCCCAAATTAATTGGCGATCGAAATGGGTCATAGGTGGCGTAGAGCAGAACTCTCTACCTATGGTAACACTTCACATGGTTTCACCATTAGCGTGTGGAGAGTCATGGGACAAGGAAGTACGTTAGTTTATGTCTTGATTTTCTAATAAATTAAAAACTTTTAATATAAAAAACTATAAGGAACTGAAAACTACATTGAACATAGTTCTAAAAGAAAGCATTGTGGAAATTTTAAAAAGTATTTTTGACCATTAAATACGAAAATATTAAGAAAGAGGGAAATATAGCAGTGCATTCCTATACAACTGAGAAGAGGAAGGTCAAGACATGGAACCGTTCTTCTCCCTAGATAGATTATTCGAGCGTTATTAAAGTGTGTGGGGGGAGGGTTTTTTTATTATTTTGAAGTGCAATAAACACTACATAAAGTATGAAAAAAACATGGCTGATGCATTGCAGTACCGCTATGGTTTTGATGGTTTTATTTCTTTTGCTTTTTCTGGCCTCAAAAATGGTTGGCCAGAATTAGGAAACTTCAACCTTTTTTTTTTTTTCACTCGTTAATATGAATTTCCGATCCATAAGGTACATAGTTTTTTTTTTACTTGATTTTTAATAGGACTCGCAATCATTATAGAACACCATATTTAAAATAATAAACAAAATATGATAAATATAAATATAATGAATGTTATAAGTTACAAGAATGAAAGCTCTTACAAAACTCTAGTAGTTTAAATCAAACAGTTGAAATTTTAAAATTAGAGCTTTATTATGGTGATTTTTATGAATTCTTAACCAGCCATTAAAATTTTAGATGTAAACTAACGCTAGTAAACTTTTGTTTCGCAAACGAAAAAACCGAATGCATAAAATGATAAATAACTATGCTATAACGATCCTTATACCATATCTTAAAAATATCAAATTTCATTATGTAATTAGAAAAATAAAACTTGTTATTCTTTTTATTACAGAGTGATTCTTCGGGTAATGGACAGTCAGTTTCATCTGGTGGTAGTAACTCTAGTAACTACCAAACACAGTTATCTAATGGGTATCACAATGGACACAAAGTAAACACCCATAATAGTTACCCTGAAAAAACTCACAACGGATCCGAGGAAGACTTCTACGTAAATGGTGATTACAGGGGTTACGAATCGAGTGAGTTTCAACCAAACGTTTCTCAAAGCCAAACAGAACAATGTCACGTGTGTACAAGTGGCAAAAATGGAATTGTCAACGGCTGTGCTTGTAAGAAATTCAACCAATTGTTGAGCTATCACCAGTCATTACCAAGGAAGGTAATGAACACCAAAATAACAGTTGCCAATTGTGAAAATGGCTACCAGAAAGTGAACGGAACGCCTCCCGCTTTCCTCACTGCTCAGCAAGAAATCGCGGACATGATTGAGAATCTGGACCTGACCTGTAGAGCTCGACTGCAGGAATGTGCCGAATGCCTCGCCCGAATACCACCCGACAATTCCAAGCTGGAAAAAGTCCGCGAGACATTGATATACGAATCTAGACAGTTCGTGACTGCCTCTAAACTTTTCGTGAAAAGTATAACAGAATCTTCAGACAAAATGGAGGAGAATCTAACGACCTGTCTAGCTTTGCTCGACAGAATCTTTGCAGTCAGTGAGCTGGTGGTAACAGAAATGACCATTCCATCTCAAATAAACTGCTTAGTAGAAAAGCTAAAAGAAATGGCTTTGGCCTATTCTAGAACAGTGCAAGCTGCAGAATCTGCTGCTGCGGGTGAAATACCGAACTCAAACATGGCTAGCTTGATGCACCAGGCAACATCGCTAGCAACCTCTTTAACAGTACTAATGAGAACATTAAGGACTTTCAGTGGTCCTTGAGATTATTAGTATCTAAGTCATATGAATTGTTTTTTAATTATATTTTATAGTTATGTTTTTTTTTTTACGATCATATCTAAGCGAAGCTATACTTAGGTTACCAAAGGCAGCAAGCTGCTCTGGAATGTAATTTGTACAGAAGAATCTTAGTGTTGCATGAGCTGATTGGTTGTGATGTATCAAAACGTGAAGTCAGTTCTCAGGGTTGTCAAATAAAAATAGTTCATTTAAACGATACAGTTTTGCAGAAACTATACTTAAACACTTTTTTTTTAACCTATAGTATATAAGCCGACAGATAAAAAAAATATTCCAGTTTGCATTTTAGCATCCCTTCCAAATTTGAAACACCATATTCAATGTCTTGTTTACACATTTAGATTAATTCAAAACTGCTTGTTAACTATCATCAATTTCCCACACCACTTGTATAAACCACATAGCCAAAAACTGTAAATCTTATTTAAAAAAACAAAAAATATATAAAATAAAATCTTGTAGTTCAAGAAGTCAGTCGGCATAACTTCTGTATCTCCAAGTTAGTTATCATCCCGTATTAAAATGTACAGCAATATTAAGTTATGAAAACGTTTCTTTTATTTTCATTTTTAAACCAATTTAACCAATTACAATGACTAAACTTCAAAAAAATAATAAATTAGTTTATTTATTTTTTAATTATTCATAAACAATTCACAGTCTTGATTATAATTAAAAAACAGCTATTGTTGTAATTTTACAATTAGGTCAATTTTAATGAATAAACAAGTTTTTCCTAATCTTTAAAACTACGATACATTAATTTATATATCCCAAAACCCATGTTCAATTTCATGTCATATGAATATAACCATTAAGGACCTTTATTTATATGCTACTTATTTGATGACAGGAAAAATTTGTACTACGAGCGATTTTTTTAAACTGAAGATGATCTTAAAATAGATTTATAAATATTTGTAAATATTACTTTTAACTGCAGTATTATGGTCGCACATTTGCTGTTGGAAACTATCATTAGGAGTTATCAATTCCATATTCTTAAGTTACCAAGTTTATGAGCTATCAATTTCATATTCAACTTCAATTGAATATCAATTAAATTTTTACAAGTTACCAATTACACAATTGCTGATTATCAATTATCATTAAATCATCACGAATAAACAATTTAATTAGGATGCATTATCATAAGTTATTATTGAAATAAAAAGTATTTCAAGTAAATAACATGATCGATCAATATTGTTAAAATAACTATCAACTTTCAAATATAAAATGTTAGGCATTACAGCAAATAATAATATTTTAAATATTAGTTATTTCTTTCCATTACTGTAATAATGTAAACAAAGCTATGTGTGATCGCATACAAATGGAAAGCAACTAATCTGCTTTCTTGGACTTGATATAGACAGTAAAAGAATTCAAGACAAAAACAATTACTTTATACATTGTTTTTTTTTTTAATTTAAAAAAATATTGTACATATAACGACATTACTATATATAATATAAAATGAAACACTGGAAGAAAAAAAGGATGTAAGGGCCAAATTGTAAATTTCAAAAAAAATTCTAGAAGATACAGCAAATCCAACTAGAAGTAGGTAAATCAGATCATTTAGAGATTTTCAGACTTTCTTAAAAGTTGCATCTTTAATTAAGGCGACATAAAAAGAAAAGATTTTGATTCGCATCTGATTTTTGGCAGAAATGCTGTCTTTGTATAAAGAAATAGATAAAGAACATTTTATTTTTATGAAAATTTCAAAACTAACCAACCCATCAGATGAAAGCCTTATTTGAATAATAGACAATTCCACATTTGTAAATTTTGAGATACAGCTTTTAAAATTATTGAATATATTGTATTTCCCATCTTGTCTGATCTGCGGGGCAGCAAAAATAGGCTTAAGATGTAACAATTTTAAAAGACGATAGAAATAATTTGAAAGTGTGGCTAACCCTACTTTTTTTTAAAAAGTGGAGTTGGACTACTATTCAAAAAAGGCTTCCGAATATATTAAAAAAAATAAATGAGCTTTCTTGTCTTCATTAGCCCAAACTTAAAATTGTTTCTTTTCAAGACAAATAAGTCCCTTAGTGCTGTCCAGTCGATTTCTAGAGAAACTGACTAACTATCATTTCCAAAACGTATCCAGGTCAGTAGAAAATGTATTTATGTTTTAGAATGCAAATTGTTCATGTTCATGTAATTTGATAAGTGTAAACAAACTTTGTAAATAGCACCAGATGGTTAGCCAATGAGAGAGCTACCACAAATGTTCTTGTACAATACAAATATTTAACTATTAGAAAGTAGCTTAAAAAAAACAAAGATTGAAAAAATGAAAGTTTTTAACATACAGAAAAAATAAAATATATGTTTCTTAGATGTTTGAGTATGTATTTGTGAGATGTTCAAAGATCTATGAAAGTGGAATCTTTTTAATCTGGAATGAAAATGTACGCGTTATGTGTGAATTAAAATAAACTTTTTAAATGTGAAAATGTGTCATTATTCTAATACACCAAAAAGCATGACAATGACTTTAATTGTAGAAGAACCTGTCTAATAAGTGTCGTTTTCTTTATTTAAGAAAAATTCATATTTGCCTGGCATCCCAAAAAAGTAATAAGTTGAAAAGTCAATTAAAAAAATATTTAATACTGTTTTCTGCTTAGAAGAACAGCCATTAATTTTAACCTATTAAAATGCTCAACAATAGATGGCGCTGCTAACTGAAAAACAATAAAGCACTGTTTTCAGATGTTTGTCAAACTATTTAAACTCAGATATTTGTATGAGCAACAGTTAATTTTTTTGAAACACTGCATCACATTTTAAAAACATAGTTTTAAATTTTTTTTTCAGCATTGATAACTTTAGTAACTTGAATGTAATGAGAATAAATTATATCTAGCTTCCTGAGCAGAACACAGAAAACTGTAAAATTCCATTCCATCTTTCTCGAATTGATTTTTCAAATCAGTTATTTTTAAGAAAGCCAGAAGAATGTATATGAATATCAAAAAACTGTTAGCAGAATATTTTGATCCATGGAGAGGATGTAATAGTAATTTAAAGAGAGAGGGAAGTAATTTAAAATCTAGAAAGAGTTCAGGCAAACCTAAACTAAGCATTGAAAAGAAATTTTCAAAATATCAAAATGAAAACTAAGTATGAGAGGATAGCTTAGAGCAGTGTTCCCCAAAGTGTGGTACGCGTACCCCCTGGGGTACGGGAACCGTTCAGCGGGGGTACGCGCTCTTATGCGAAATATCTTGAAAGAAACGAAAATTTACAAATTTTTTATTTAAAAACAAAGCTAGTGATGAAAATTTACGATTACGCATTTTTCTATTGCCTATTTTTTGCAGAGTTAACAGTGAATATTTAGTGGTGTCAACAGCCAGTTGCGATTTCTAACTTTTGTGCAATTTTTTATAGTAAAAAATACACAAATTTTTTTATTAGTGGTACACAGCTTTACGAAAAATTTAGAAAGGGTACATAAAAGTCATAAGTTTGGATAGTAAAGTTCATGATAATTATTGCATTATGTACTAAATATTTTACACAGGGGATTTTAGGGATTTTTATAGTCATCAATATAAAAATAATTGTAATATTTTCCAGTTATGATTGACATTAAACATACTTGAAATGTTATGTATTATGTATACTCATAATTTAAAAAAAAATAAACTGAAGTTCTGAATCAAAATAAACTGAACATCTTAAAACAAAAAAAGTTTTGAACTTATTTTTATGAATGAGGTTCGCTTCATTATGTATTAGTAATACTTATTTAAATATTCAAACAAGTAATACTCTGTACAAAAATTCTATTTCAATAGGAATTTTGTTAGGAAATTTACTCAATTTTAGGGAATTTTCTAAAATGTACAAAAAACAGGAGAATTTTAATTAAACCAGACCAGGAGAAACTGGAAAAATCCAGTAGTCTACTGGAAATTTCAGTAGAGTTGGCAGCTATATATATAGCATCCTCTTAAGCTTTTTAATTATCTTTAAGGTAATATTAAACGTTCCAGTCACTTTTTAATTGCAAACAATCATGCAAATAGAGGTAACAAAAATAAAAATATTGAGTAATATTGCTAAGGATAGTGATCAAGATTTGGCATACAATTTGCCTTTCCTGACAGAAATTTGCCAATAGAATCAAAAAACAATGCATGGCACCTTTTAAATGAAAATATTTGTCAAAAATATTCTTATTTTAAACAATTTAGTTACTGATAACTTTAGTATTTAAGAATAGTAAAATTTAAATGTGAACTACTTAAAGCATGAACTGAGTTGAAACTAAGTATGACACAAAAATATAAAAAGGCACAGTTTTGTAAAATTTAATGTAAAGTATAGTTTGTGACTTTTAAAATGCTAGTCATATTTTCATAGAAATATTTTTAACATTTACCATTCATTTGTACAAAAATAAAAACTTAAATATGAATGAGATAGCACATTTATCTTAGATATTTTGAAAATAATTAGAATTTGAAAAAGTATTTCTAATTGGGTCTCGTGACACAAAATAGCAATTGTTAATTTCTAAGCAACCTTTCACTTTTGAAATTTTTTTCAAGGTATCAACAGAAAACTCTCCATTTGTGAAAAACAAATGAAACATACATATCTAAATGGTAACTTCATTGTCCAAAAAAATTAATTTTACAATTTTTCACTCAAAAATCTTAAAAGTCCAAATTGTCCCTTTTCATATAGAAAATTTTGGTCAGATTTTAATTGGATAAGTGAATGTCGTACTTCATTTATGGTATTATGATTTAACTTAAATTTCTTATGTATTGTTTTTTAAAAAAAAATTCGGTATTAGACTGTTTGTTGAAAAAAATCATAACCCAAAAACCAATGTGCATGACACCTTTTTTTAAGTATGAAAAAGATATGGGCATAACAAATACAAAATTTTAAAATTAATTCATAAGTTTTCATTTAGTTTTCTTTTCCTTTTCTTTTAAGTTTTCAACAAGAAGCTAGATTTAAAAGCTAGTTACAAAACCGACTAAAATGCAAAAAAAATGTTAACATATATTTGTTTCAAATATTTGTGTGAAAGAAAAAAATACAGAAATAGAGTTAGTGATACAAACTAGTAGAATTAATCTATAAATTGCTCTTCTGAAGTTTAACATTTTATACAATTTGCAAATTAAAAATTACAAGAGTAATATATTATTAACTGAAAAAGTTAAATATTTTAGCTAAAGAAACTAATTCATAGTGCAAATTTAAAAATAAAAAACATTTTAAACAATCCTAAGCAAATTTTAAAATTTTGATCATCTTTTAGTGAAAAAAATTGAGAACAGAATTAAAAAATTAAAAGTAACTTATAATATTTGTCTAAAAAAATATTTTCAAATTTTTAAGAGATTTTGCTGAGCAAACTTGGAAATTTTTCTTAACAATTTTAATTTTCATAAACTGGTTTCATAAATTGATTTTCATAAACTAATTTTTACAAACTTCGCAACTGGACATTAATTTTAGAGAAAATTAAAAATGGAATACAAATTATATACACATTCTTTAAAGTGTGATTTTGTTAAAATATAGTTTTTGTGGAACAAACTTGTAAACTGAAGTACTTTCTTAAGTGATATCCGAGGTTTAATTTTTTGATATATTTTCAGCACAAAATTGTATAAAGAATCTAAAATATTTAAAATGTACAACACATCTATAAATTGGACATTTTTTTCTAAAATGAATAATTTTGAAAACTAACTAAAAATAAAACATATTTTGGAATATTTTATCGGATTATTTATTAAATTTACTAAGAAAATTACTATTATTAAAAAAAAGTTAGGAGCATAAAAATTAAGAACAATAGATTTCGAAATTGTAGGAAGTTATAAAAATAATAAATAAATTTTCATAAGCAGTAGATAAAAATATATGTATCTTTAAGCATGTTCCAAACGGCACATAGATATAATTAAATATTCCAGAGAACATTAATGCAGCTTTCTCACATACAAAAAAAAGTTATTAATTAGTACTTTATTGGTCTAAACCACAATTAACAAAAATGATTAGTTGCATCATATTCTAAGATATGTATAATGATCATCATATCTAAGATGCACAACCTGCAGCCCTTAAATGACCATTCATTGTGTAATCACTACAATGAATGAACAACAATGAACACTGAAATTATAGCATGGAAATTCCAAAATACATTTAAAGGCTTCAAAAGATCAAAATAGTCTTTTGAAATTTCAATAAATTTTTTTAAAAAATTTCCTCTAACCAAAACTTACGTAATTTAAATCCAGTAAAAAATATATATATATAGTTTTTTCACAAAGAAAATTAAAAGCCAATACTGTAAAGTCAGAAAGTTCACTGTACTTTATCTTTCAAAATTGTTATTATATAACACTGAGGTATAAATAGCTATTATTAATTAACATAAAAACTTAATTTTCCGCAGCACAAAAGTTAAAAAATATTTTCCACCACTCACTTTCGAAAAAAGATAGTAAAATACATAACTTTCTGCAAAGGATAGGAATGGAATTTTTGCTCAAAAGGTAAATAAAATTAATAGCATGTGAAACATGCTTCACTAGCAATATTTCTTTGCCTTTTCTGTCCCAAAAGAAAAAAATTTCCAATTTTTTTGCCCGGTATCCAGAATTCTCCCCAGGAATAAAAAAGGACAGGGTGCTTACTCACAGAATAGGGCACTTTGAGTTTTGAAAGGTTTAGCACTGTTAAATTTCATCAAAATGTGTAATAGCAGAATTGGATCCTCAATTTTTAAATTACCCTCTTATACTATTTTATGTGTGTATCTACCAAAGAAATTCTCACTCATATGGAGAACAATGTAGTACTTTTTTTCATAAAAAATTTTACTGATAACATTTTAAAAGGAATAGGTAAAAATAGTTAATACCATTTAGCAGGTAACAGTTTAAGAAGATAAGTTTTCATTAAAAAATAATAGAACAAATAAAATCAGAACAGATTAGATAAGAAAGACAAAATTAGTTAATGATTATTAAATTTAATAAATGTAGCAATGACAACCATCAAATATATAAATTCTAGATTATTTACAAAAAATATAACAAGCATTTGAGATTGAGAAGAAAAATGATATATTAACAAATAAAAGCAATGAAGAATTAAAACAGGACAGATATAGTTTCTGTAAGATCACGTCACTAGGATAGGCAACAATTCTTTTCTTTCGGAGTTTGCCTCTGAAAGAAAGAGGATTATTGAGAAAGGCAACAAACACAAAATTGTAATAAAATTCAGATAATTAAAATTTGAATATATTTTAATAGCTCTTTATAGAATTATAAAATTGGGCTTTAATGTGCTAATTTAAAGGTCCCCATTCAATTTCAGAAAGAAAAAAAAAATTCAATGTAAATCCAGTCGTATTTTATCTATACCAAGCAACTTTGAATATTTTTATTTGTAACGCCAAATATCAGATTTTGTGAGATCAGATTTTTGTGTTATCATTGAATGAGGATAAAAACATGTCAGTTTGACTAAAATGTGAAATTTTTATAACAAATAATTTTATAGATGTTAGAATTATTTATCTCCTATCTCAGTAACTGATTACTATTATTGACAATTCAACAACTGGTTATTTTCCCGGTATGATATGGGAAAAAAATTGCAATTTTCCCTGATTTTTTTTAGTTAAAATAAAATTCTCTAAGAATTCTGGGTTTTCCCTGTTCTCTGACCAATGGGAATCCTGTTTTTTTTTTTCACATAAAATATGTAATAGCATCCAGAGCACATAATGGAGTTTCTCCACATTACTGTGGAAAATCTATTCCGAAAAGCATCAATGCATGTCTCAAAGTTAATAGAACAATTGCACAAGTTTAAGGAACTATTTTAGGGCTAATCTAAACCATGGGGATAACACAGGGCAACTACCGTTATATTAATTTCTTAACAAATTGGTTAAATTTCTCTTTCTTCTTAATTGTTGCTTTCTAGTTTTCACTCATTTAAAATTGCATTAAATAGCTTTGAAATTAATGCTATTATTTAAACTGATTTTTAAAAATTAACATTTTTAATGCTTATTTAAAAAGAGAAAAGAAAAAAAAAGAATTTCCTTTGGGGTGGAAGAAATTTATTTCTTCCAGGGCAATTTTCTCCTCCGTTTTTACCATTGGGGAGAAACTTGCCATTACTGATTACAACCAAAATATTTTCAAGAGTATTAATAACAAAAAAATCAGAAATATTTATAATTGAGAGTTTTTAGTTATATTTTACAATTTAGCAAACTCAGTGTGCTTAATATTTGCTTTAAGCAAATATTCCTCTCAACATAAAAATTATTTAACATTTTTAGAGGAAAAAAATAAAAATAGCAATATAATTTAGGTGATTTATGTTTAATTAAATACTTGGAATACAGCAAAACAGATAAATAAGAATTATAACTAGTTATTAATAGCTTGTAAAGAGATAAATTAATTTTCTGCACTCTTTTCCATCACTTTAACATATTTCTAGAACTTTGTATGTTAGTTCTTACTTTTTCAATAACTTTAACCTACTGTTTTCCTACAAACAAATTAGTTTTGACGTTACTAAAGAGAAAAGTAGTACAAAGAAAGAAAAACTTCATATTAACTGTGTCCACATGTTTAATAAGTTAAATTTGAAAGAAAGAAAAAAGTTCTATTCCTTTTTGACGATTTTAACATAGTTCTTCCACTGTTTTAGCTCTGTGCTTAGCCCTAAACAAAAGATTAAAACTATCTGGGGTTTTTTTTCAAACTTCAACCTGGCTGTTACTACATAACAAAATTAGTCATTAATAGTTAGTTGTATAGTTTATATTATTAGTTAGTTTGCGTACTTAGGGAAAGTTTAACAAAAAAAAAAGGATTGGTGACACAAACATTACAAAAAGAACAGGAAGTAACAATTTAATAAATCATCTACCCTTCAGATCTAATAAACAATAAATGAGGTAAACGGTATATTATTATCTTGCTAGTGCATAGTGTTATTAGGGCATGGTATCAGGAACACATCTTTTATGATTCAGATGCAAAACTTAGAAATTAAACCAGGTATACAATTATTTGCATAGATCAGATTGGCAGAGTTTACTCAGCTTTTAATAAATAATCTAAAATAATGATTCTAAAATGCATATCTGTACTTTAAAGTTTACATAAACAAGACTTTAAAATACATTTTGGAAAAATGTTAGAAAATTATTGCTAAAATAAAAAATAATTTGAATCAATTTAGCTTGTGTAAATTAAAGTTTGCACAAGTAAGAAAGATATTTTTAAACTGGTAAAAGAGCTCTACAAATGATAGAGGAAATAACTTTTACAATTACATATCTATATGTTCACGATAAGTATTTCTCTAGGTTTCTACTAATTTTCATTTTCAATCAAACACTAATAATTCTAAATATAACTTAGAATCTATTCTATTATTTGGAATAGATTCTATTGGAAACAAAATTAAAAACCAACAAAAATTGAAAATTAATTTATTCACTAAAAATCAAAAATAGGAAAAAAATTAATAGTACAATTGTTTCAGGAATATAAAAGTAGCAAAAACTAATAAATTAAACATTCTTGCATACAAAAGATCAGAAAGTAATGCTTATATTTCAAGAATCATCAACTTCGCAATTTTGTATTTCTTCTGGTGGTGAGATTTTGAGGCTGTTAGTAAAAGTATAACAGATTTGAACAGTTAGTAAAAAAAATAGTTTAAATAACAACTAAACATAAACTATAATATAAAGCTATCAAAAAGATTATTTTTATTGAAAGCAAAGCTTAAAAAATCTTAAGTGATAAAATAAGTTTTACATATACACAAATAAATTATGTTTAAAATAATCATAAATTATACATCACAGCCAATGTGGATGATTTTTTCAAAATGTTAACTTTTGCCTAAGCCAACTAAAAAAAATTCCTCTCATAATTAACTGAATATTCATAATTTTTATACTAAGACCATACATTTAAGTATACAAATCAAGGACCAGCAATGAAAAAACTTTAAAAATAAAAATCCAGTTTCAATTTTTAATTGTAATTACATGAAATAAAATTTGCCTTCCCTTTTAAACACTTTAGAAAAGCACATATATATTAATATATTAACAAATATAAAAATATATTAAACAATATTTAATAGAAAATTTAATATTTTATTTTAAGAAAATAGATTATATCTAGAATTTTAAAAAAAATTATAACAATAATTTTTAAAAGAATTTTTACCTTTTTGTATCACATTTTCTTACGTAAGGAGCACATTTTGTAAGCTAACTTATAATTTTAAAATCAAAATTCCTGTTAGTTATTTTAGAATGTGTTTTTGTGAATGAGGAACTTTATTTCAAACAGAGACAGTTAAGATATTGACAATAAACTGGAAAAACTGCATTTGTAATTTCAAAACATTGTTTTCTTAACTACACCATTTGCTCTATTACAATTAAAAAATATAATAAATGTTTTATTTACATTTTAAATACAATTTGTTTTTCATTTAAATTGTTTATTGTTTAGATATGGGTAGAAATTGGCCTTGATGGAATTTTTAAAATGACACATAATTTCATTTTTTGTATAATTTGTGCCTATTACCAATAAAACTTTTTATCCAAACAACTCAGTACAATTTAGTTAACTTTTTATTTGGGTAAAAGATATTCTTGATATAGATTTATTCTTGATCTTTATCAACTATATTTACAAAATTTATCTAATATTATGAAATTTCAAAGAAAATTAAAATATTAATGTTGTTAAAACTATAACTGGGGAGCGTAGCCAGATTTTTCAACAAAAAATGATCACCTTTTAAGAACATTTTAAGCAAGTAAAAAATATTTCTGTACTACTTTCCAAAAAAAAAATCATAACTAAGATTTGTGCAGTAATAAAAATTAGTTTTTCTATCGTTAAAAGTAAAATTAATAAAATGCAACATTTTCAAAAACTTTATATAACCATGATAAAATAACTAGTTTCTGATAAATATTGCAGAGAAAAATGTGAAAATCATGCATTTTTTATAATTTAGAACGGCAATCGACAGAGCAAAGAAAAAAATCTCTTTTTAAACGAAATAAAATTAACCATTTTTTACAAACCCCAAATAAAAAAAAAGCATCTTTAAGGGCTTTTAAAAAACATAAATGAAAAATAAGCACTTTTTAAAAATGCTACGCACCCGAATAACTTAATGTAATTGCGCAAGCATTCTAAAATATTCAATTTTTAATAAGAGTAAAAAGGCATTACAAAAATGTCAAGTAAACTTCAGCTAAAAATATAAATAAATATACAGCTAAAATTTGAAGGGAAAAAATTTAGCAAGTTTTACTTAACAAAATTAAAATTTTGATTTTCTAAATCAATTTACAATGTTAACACGAAAAAGAATGCATTCTTAACTATCTAAGCCCTTGTAAGTAGATTATTTTATCTGAATATTAATAACATTCATAAACTTTATCTGAGGTTAATATTCTGTTTATTAATTATAATGCTCCTCTATTTTTATTTGAAATTTGACAAAAAAGAAACTAACTATATAATAACACAACCAATCAAACACTTTCAAGCTTTTCCAAGGGTCCATAAAATCTGATTCGGAGAAAAAACAAATTCAAAGGTTTGAGATAGAGGGAAAAAGCACAGTACAGTTTCATAATGGGTAAATGCCTCCAAATCCGTAATTAGAAAATTAAAAAGTAATAGTACTCCTTTCTCAAATTGTCCTTTTTATGTGTTTCTTTTTCAATTTTTACATATAAGCATTTCATTTTCAAACTATTGTTTTATGTATTTTCGTATGTATGTTTTGCAATATTGCTGAACAACAAAAAAAAGAAGCATTTCTGTTCTTTAAAGTTCAACTTTTTTTAAGGTGCATCCTATAACAAGCAGACCCCCCAGACCTTAAGCTGTTGAACATATTAATTTTGCTGAAATTTTCATTAAATCAAACAAAAGTCAATTCTTGTACAAAATAGAACAAAAATTTCCTTAATTGAAAGGAGATGAGGAGTTGAAAAACATGCTAAGAAATCTTCAGATACACAAAGGAAGAAAAGTCAAGACTAAACCTTGCCATTATTTATTTTTTAAATAGCTTCAGATTAGATTCACTTGTATAGCTCTATGCAAGTCTAATTTCCTAAATGAAATTTGGTTAAATAACAAAATACAGGGGGGGGGAATGGTGTTTTGGACATGTAAAGATACCTGAAAAACAAATTTTCAGTTGAAAAGTCAAGAAAGATAGCACTTTCTTCCTCAATCATTTCTGACATAAAAACAAAAATCAACTTCAGACTAAAAATTCAGGATTGAATGTAAAAAAAAAATAAAATTATAACTTCTAAAACTATAACTTCTATAACGAACTGAAGAATTCGAGTAAGCCGTTTACAAGATTCAATGCAAAATAAAATAATTCTGCATGCTATGAATTTAACTTGCTACTTAATTTTACTTTCAAAAAATTGTTATTTTTCAGAAGTACTTAACATGAGATATGACAATATACAATCATTACAATGAGAGAGAAAAAAAAACATGCATTAAAATAAATTAAAAGCTAGCATGCATTAAGGATAAAATCACTAAAAATGCCTAACTCTAGGAGCAATAACGAAAAGAAGGATCATTCACAATGTTACCACACGGGCTTGCACTTTTCAGTAAAAAATCGTCTAAAAAGTCAATACAAAAAAAAGAGAGAAAAAGAGGAAAAAGAAATATAAATAAAACGACTATTGACAAAATTTTAAACCACATGATTTGTAACAAGGCAATGGTATATGCAAAGTAAAAATTCCCTCTTTATCACTCAACGATGACAACAGAAGCAAATTAAAATAAGAGTCCTTACAACTTTAATATCCCTTAATGCATTACTTAAATAGAGTAAAACCATCGATAAAAAAAGATGTTTTTAAAATCCTTAATTAGTGAATAAACACAATTTTTTTTAATAAAAATTAATAATTTACCACCAAATTTTTAGTATTTGCAACACACACTTAGACCCAAACAAAGGCACTTTAAACTTGAATAAAAAAGTTTTAGCATTAACATTAATAAATAGCTTTCTTTAAAATGAAAAAAAGACAAAACTCACTCTCTGAGAATCATCACATTGGGCCAAAGCCTGTGCAAGCAGCATATCTTCCTGCTCTTGAATATTTCTACAACAAAAATTATAAACTCATTAATCCTTTATTGAAAATATAAAATAGGTTTCAATGCTATGTAAAACAAGAATATGTATTGTCAATAATTTAGTAACAAGTAAATTATAAAGAAAATAATATTTGTTGGAAATTTTGCAATTCAGTCGTAAGCAGAAGCTCATTTACTATCTAAACAATAACAAAATGTAGGAAATATAAAATCTGCAGAAAAACCTCATTCCAGATCGGCATATTTTCATAAAGATAAAAAGTTTACTTGGGCACAGTTAATGTTTACATTGTTGATAAACACATAAAAACAGAAGGAAATGTGAGTGTAATTTAAATCAATATCAAGATGCACTAAATACCTAAAGACTAAAGATGCTTCAAATTATTCTTAAAAAAAAACATGTAGGAAAAGAAGAAAAAAATTTATTAAGATTAATTTGGAGAATAAAGATAAAAAATTAAGGAGCCTTAGATCAAATTTCAAATAATAAACAGAATATAACTAATAATGAGCAAAAACAACTACAGCTGAAGCCAAACTTCTGAATTGAAGGACTTTCCTAAGAAAATTTGTAAGATGCTTTTTTTCGTATCCACCATTTTTCCAGTGAATAAGAGGGAGAAAAAGTGATTTGTTTGGGCTATCTGGGTAAAATACTTACAAGATCAGCTATATTATGTTGTCCTTATTTTACAATTTGTGTTTAGAACGCATATTGATTACCCTCTTGGTATCAAATACAATACGAGATGCGAGTCACTGTTATAGACACAAAGGTATGGCATTCAGCAGAACCCAGAGGTTTCGAAGATATCATGAGATTAGAGAATTTTTTAATTTATTTAAAAAATTTTATGCACCTATCTATGATCTTCGAAACTTGTATTTAAATTTATATCTTATAAATTATCCATTATTTTTATGAAATTATTTAATTGAAAAGCTTGAGAAGAAAAATTTCAAAACAATTTTTTTTTCTAATAACAATATAATGAATTAAGAAAAGCATATTTGGATTTACGAAAAACTCAAGTACTATTTTGCATCGAATAAAAATAAATCAAATCCAAAAATGAAGATAAAAAATAACCAAATTCAACTCTGATAACCAGTTTCAATGCTTATTTCCTTTCTTCTTCATTTTTGCTTAAACTATATTTCAGCTCATTCACTTTCAGCTTATGCATGCATTAAAATCAAACTAAAAAATAGACTAGGTGCTGTTCATGACCAATGAATTCAATTGTCTGACACAAAACCCAATTTTTAACTAATATTGATAAAACAACTTGGTGAAAAAGTTGCATTCCCTAAACTCATTCACTAAATATTTTAAAAATAATTAATATAATTTAGATCATTACATATTTTTAAAATTATTAAGAGCCTTTTGTTAATTAATATGTTTGAAATTGCGAAAGAAATTTATTTATTAAAACTTAGTTCTTGGCCAAAAGTTTAGGGTTCCATAGCAGAAAAAACTGGGAACCACTGATTTAATAAGAAGAAAAAACGCATACTTAATAGCAATTTTGTGTGGCATATTATTTCCACTAAATACAATTTAATAATTATAAAGAAATTGAGCTACCAACTTAATGAATGCAACAAAAAAAATATTTAATTAAGTGAAGAAATATTCATTTTTCAATATCCCATAAATATAAAGTTCATTAAATTTTTGACAATAATTGAGTACTTTTCTGCTATTTAAAACACATAATTTCCCATTTTCCTTAATGTGAAAATAAATAAAGATAACTATTTCTATTTTAAGCTTTGCACATCTTCATATGGGTGATCAAGTTTTAATGTCTTATTCTCTCAATTAAAAGACAAAAATATTATTTTTTAAAGTTGTGATATCCCATTTTAATAATATCCCAAATCAATCTATATTATATAAAACACTAATACGTACGTATGTATCAATAAAACGGATATTTCTTTTCTCGCGCTGGCAACAGTTTTCATTTTTAAATGATAGGATTCGGCGCTCAAGAGCATGTAGTGAGCATCATATGGCTAATCTATATTATATAAAACGCTTTAATCGATAGGCTTCGCCGCGCAAGAGCACGTAGTGAGCATCATATACCTAATCGGGTGAATTCTCACCGAATTATCAAAAAAATTCTCACAAAATTATCTTCATCGAAGCCAATGCTTTACATCCGCCGGTCAGTACTATTTCATATTGTTTTACAACACTTGGTTTTAGCCCTCTGGTGGGAAAGACTTTAAAACAAAACTTACAACAGTTACTTTTCTCAACAACTGAAATTTAGAATAGTGTGATTAAGAAAAATATGTGAACTGTTTGCAATTTCAAATTAATATTGAAATGCACAGGTTTAGAATTTTCTACAGTGAAAAGTTTTCGGAACTTCAGTGTTCAAAAAAGTATACAAAAGCTAGACGTTAAGAACGTATCCAATGAGCGAGTAAAGCGATCATCGGATTGCGAAGCAATCCGAAATGAACTGCGAAAGCAGTTCCGGGGGTTGGCGAGCACCAGCGAGCAGGGGGCGAAGCCTCCAAGTAATTAATATAATGACAAAAGTAATGCACATTTAAAATTACATCCTATTATAAAAAATGCTACACAGTAGAAAATACTGATAAATAATTGACTTAATAAATTCTGAATTTTATGGTGCATACTGCATTAAATTTAAATCCAATTAATTACGTTGCACTTTAATATTCACATTAAAATAAGTGATAATATATCTCACAACATTCTTCATAGAAAGAAGCAATAATGAGGAAATTTGACTCTTTATTATGTAAGATGCAATAAAAAAGAATTTAACACTAAACAAAGAAATCAATGGATGGTGCTCAAAGTAAAAAATAGTAAATGGTATATGCTTAGAAACTTTTTATTTTATTTTATTATTTGTATTTTAAAATTTGGAACAGAAGTTAATTATTCAGAACAGATAATAATTTAAAATACAAAATTAGATGAAAAATAATGCTTTTGAACAAACACACTTTTTTTCTTCAGCAGATTCAGAAAATTTAAGCCTCTTTATGTTAATTTTACTTTTTGCATATTTCAATGTATTATTAGAGCCATTTTCAAAAGATAAACATTTTTTATTATAACTTATTCCTTCATAAATAATTTAATAAACCTCATAAAATATTCCTTTTTTCATAAATATTGCCTAATAAAATATAGTTCTCTATCAACAGTGAAATAGTTCCCCAGAAAAGAAATTTTAAAACTATTAATTTAATTGAAATATCATATTTGCCTACAAAAAAAAATCATTTACAGTTATATCTTAGATGTTAATTAGATTACAACTAGAAAAAATATCACGCAATAAGTTCTTAAATAACTTAAGATAAACTTACTTAGGTGCATTCTCATTTAAGGATTTATGTAGTGCAAGTGCTAAAGCTTCATCTTCTGTCTATAAATAAAATGAAGAAAAAGATAAACTGTAATGCAAACATAATGAAACAGTAAAATATATTATACAGAAATCATAGCATTTTTTTAAGATTGTAATAATTTATTAAAGAACTATGAATTTAAAATCAACAGATTTTTAACTAACCTTCAAAGGGTCATTTACATTGAAAGTCTTGTTTTAACATGCACTCTCTCTTACTTAACATAACCTTTCTAAACTAAATATTTCGAGAGGGAAACAGTCTAAGGTAAAAAAAGTTTTTAACTTGATCATTTTCTTATCTTAATCATTTAATTTAATTAACCTAATCATTTTCAAAAGTCATTTATTGGTGTGACGATACAATATACAGTACGCAAAATTACTTTTCTCCAGCTTTTAATCAAGAGATCAAAATTTTATGTGTTAAGGCTCAATCTTAATGGTTTGAGAATTTAGCCTTAAATGTGTTATTTTGAGCAGAAGATATTTAAATAATAGAATACGACCCAAAAACATTGACTCAAAAGTTTTGATTTCTTACTGCTTACTTTCTTTTCTCCTTTACACACAGTACTAAAACCTGCTTATATTAAGATAATTTTATAAAAATATAATTTTTAAATGTTATTTATTATTTAAGAATTGTTAACGCTTAATAAAATATGTTCAATTGTAAGAAATAAAGTTAACACCCATGCATGATCTTCGAAAAGATCATGAGAGGGTGGAAGTGGCGTTCATCACGCGCCGCGGGAAATAACCACACATTCTCGTTCTCTCTCTGTACAGAGAATAATGCGGGTCAACCGCTCCTCTCCAGTTTGCCAAGGACGCTTTACTATTTCTTACATCAAAATAAAAATTTTATTTGAATCTTATAGTCCACTGCAGCAGTCATTTGCAACACACACATAAAACCCCTCCAAGAATAACTGAATATTTTTTGTAGGAAAAGAACAAAAATTTTAAATTCTCATCAAGCCATGCAAGTTTAAAAAATAAAATTTATGCTTAACCAATAATTCTTGAAATTTCAACATTATCCAAAAAGCTGTATTATACTTTTTTCACTCGATTTTATCTCTCAAATTAAATTACATATCTGTTATATATTATATACCAGTTAAAACAGGAGGAATCTATACTCTTTTAAGTTATTTTCAGTTTTTATCTTAATGTTAAAATCTTTTTACGTTTTCTTAAGTAGCTAAAATAGTTTTTATCAGAAAAACTTAAAATTCAAGTATTCATTTTAAATTAATGCACAAGGATACCAACATAAGGATAATTTATGTTTTTTTTTCCTTTTCTTAAAGAAAAATTTCAAGTATTTCAACTTTCCAAAGTATTAAGACTGCTGTCTATTTTTCTGTGCCTAGTGAGGGCGACATTTTCCAAAATTTTAATTATTATAATTAAATAAAACATAAACATCATTAAATAAACACTTTGAAAATTAAATCAACACTTTGAAAATTAAAAACACCCTTCAAAAATTAGTTATAAAAGTTAACCTTTATCTACGTTACGTTTACTATCTAAAAAAAGTTCTCAATTTTTTTTAAAATCAACTTTTTTCAGGTAATAAATTCTACATTTAAATTCTTGCAAATAAATAGAAAAATTTAATTTAACAAATTTTAAAAATTTACCATGCTGCCCTGAACAGCAGTTGTAACAGAAACTTCCGGAAGAGGAGCAACATTACGTCTGTGGTCAGTTGAAGCGCTTTGACTAGAAAACCACTGAAATATGGGCTTTCTTGTGTTCTGGGCTCTGGCAAGAGCAGCAGCACTGAAAAATATGTATAAAAATAACAAATTAAAAAAGGGGATAAAATATAAATAAGAAATATGTTTAAAGTTTACTCAATTGCAAAGATTTTAATTATATGAGCATACTAAAATTGTCATTGAAAAAAGTAATATTACACTGGTCAACAAAAAAAAAAATTTCTTTTTGGTGCCTGGGATTTTAGAACGGATTTTAGCTATATTTTGGTTGTTGAATCTAAATATGAAATCAGTTTTTCTCTATCAGATCTATATTTTTAGATAATTTCACTTATCTATCAATGCTATTTTCTATTCAATACTTTCCAAGTATAAATGCCGTAAAATTTATACAAGGATTGGTTCTTGTATATTTGTACCATTGTCAGCCTCATTTTCATAACAATTAAATTAAAATAATATTTATGAAATAATATTATTATTTTATAAATAAATACTATTACTTTAATCAAATTGTTATAAAAAGAAGACTAACGCTACGGCAAATATAACTAACTGGACGCAGATTGTTAATATGTAGGATTTAACTTTCTTATTAACCGTCTGCCATCCAGTTAGTTCCAGAAAAATCCGAGAAGATGAATAAAATTCAATCATTTTCTGTACCTGAAGTTACCTTCAAAACCTCAGCTGTAGTTGAGATTAGTGTGTGAGTTCACACCGTGCAGAGAGATCAATGTTGGCGTCGCTTGAAATTTCTGTTTAGTAAAGAGTTTTTATAAATTTAACCTGTAACGTAGATTGTTGTTTTTGTGTTGCTGAATAGAAATAAAAGGAGTTCAAGTCGAAGAAACTGTGTACATCATCCTGATGTCTTTTGCTGCGTTTGTGGAAAATACATGTTTCCGGAAAACAGAAAAGCTGTTAGTGACTTCGTAAAGAGAGCTTATCTTGGATTGTTGTTGGTGTTAGGCTTGGTGATATGGATGAAACCTGGGAGCCGCATCGGGTCTGTGAAACTTGTACGGAGCATTTACGACAATTGACTGCGGAGAAAAGGTAATGTCTGAAATTTGGTGTACCAATGGTTTGGAGAGAACCCAAATATCACTTCGTTGACTGTTATTTCTGCCCACTAAATATTACTAGAATCAAGCTTAGACTTGATTTGTTAGTTATCAGAAATTTTCTGGGCAAACACAAAGCTGAAAGCTATGTTGAACTATTAAACGAGATGCTCAATAGTTTCAGATCCCTAAGGTGTAACACAAGCATTAAGGTGCACTATTTATACAACCACTTAGACCATTTACCTGATAATTTAGGGCACACTAGTGAGGAACAAGGTGAAAGATTTCGCCAGGATATTAAAATTATGGTGGACCGCTACCAAGGGAGATGGGATACCCATGATGGCAGATTACTGCTGGTGCCAAAATACATTCTAAAATTTCTCCGAAAAGAAGTTTCCGAAGTGTTTAGTGAGTAATTGGCTTAATTGATGACTTTTCTCTTTCTTTGTATATAATAATATTTGTATAATAGAAAAAAAATTACGTGTTTAGTTTGTTTGTTCAAACAATGAATTTCATTTAAAATAATGTAACGTATAGTTCACTGAAATGTTATATCTTAAAAACCCGAGCTGCTAGGCAAAAACTAATGCTGTATTTGAATTCAGGGCATCAAATTCATATGAAATCACCTCAAAAAACCTTGGCACCAAAACCACTGTTGACTAGTGTTATATATTACATGGCAAAACAGGGATGATATAATTCAACAGAGGCTCAATAGAATAACCTCTATTAAATACATTATCTCTTTTTTTGCCATTTGTCCTACTGATAAAAATGCACCCTACACTGAAGCGTGTTTAGGTTTTGATATTATTCACTCCCTTTGTGAAATATTGTAATAGGTGGTTTGTTATAAATTTAAAATAAGATATATTTCCATTCTTAATTTTATTTTGCTTAGAATTTGTAGTTTTCTAGATGCATGTTACTTAGCTAAAAAAGGTTCTTTGTAACCTGTGTAACATCACATGCTGGGAGCAAAATGCTTAAAAATTATCGAAGTAAACGCATAAATGAATAATTTTTATATCAAAATAAGTTCAGTATTTATGAGTTATATTTAAATATTTTCTGAAGCTTTGCGTACTAACATTATTAGTAACCTCATGTTATAATGTTTGTATTCATTTGGAACACAGGTGTCATTAAGTATTGAATGTATTTATTTCATGTAACATGTAGAACTGAAACATTAAATTAAATCAGGCTTGCTTGGACTCAATCATAAATTAAATCTCAACTTGTCTCTACTTAACATGTTGAGTGTCGCGTCAGTCATCTGTGGCTGACACTGGACTTTCCATTTAGGCTACATCAATCACCGGTGGCTGACACTGACCTTTCACATAGGCCGCGAAAAACACCTGGCTGACAGCGTATAACATGATATAGAACTATAAAATTTACACTCTTTTATGGAATTGCAGAAAATTTATCCAAAATTTACTTAATTATTGTGATTCTACACAATTTAATAAATTCAATTTAGTAGATTTTTATTCACCACTATTTTTAAACAATTCATAGGCATATATAATTCACCACTTTCTTTCAGATATGTCATGCTAAACCTTTCATAAACTAGCAAAATCTGTTTATATTTGCAAATTTAGTTTGTAGTTATTTACCGTGTGGCCAGACGAGCAAGCCATGTAAAATTACTGTGGCATTCAACGTGTTAACAGTGAAAGCAAAATATTTGAATAAAGTAAAATTTTAAAAAATTACCCAGCAGCTTGGGCAGGAGATACGACTTTTTGCTCTGAACATTTATGATCATCAGGATGCCTGTGTTTCAAGCAATAATTTTTATTGCAAACATTACAGTTTATACGAACAATCTGAAAGAAACGAATATAAAGCAGAAATAAGAGGGGGGAAATTAACTTAGGAGCTCATAATTTTGCAAATTACTGTAAACTAACATCAATTTATATCAAATATAACACTTACCTCTTTCAATTTACAGCCTTTTACTGAGCACTTACTGGTATAAACCTACAATAAAAAAAGAGCTATCAAACAATATTATCAATATAATTTTATAATGTTATGAAATGTAAGAAAAAAATATCAAACTTTCTTTTAAACAATGATATCAATCTATAACATTTTGAATACAGAACATGAAATAGATTAAAATATGTTTTTAGCGCACAAAAATCAGGAATATCAGGGTAAAAAGCAAAAACAAAAAAAATCAGGACAAAATTTTTTATCAGGATAACAAAACAGCAATTGGAAAAGATTCTTAACATTAATCCCTTATCTGCTGAGTAAAATTTACGTGATTCACTCCCCAGTGCCACCGTTTTTCGCTCAAGTGCGCTTTGTTATGCGGTGTTTTGAGGTGGGGGGAAATATGCACACTTTACAATTTAAAAACAGTTTACTTTCACAAGAGAAGAAAAAGGAAAAAAAGAAAATGCAAAACTTAAATTAAAGAATAAAAATACTATCTAAAAGATGTTGAAACTTAGCAGGTGTATGATAAATCCTGAAACATGGTTGGACACATAAACCAACATCACATTCATTGCACTGATAGCGGGATTCTCAACGAATATAGACGGGAAACGAAAGCGAAAGAATAAACCCGACCTTACTCAAATAGAAACACACAAGCAATAAAAATCATGATATAACTTTTCCAACACATCCCTTTATCATTCCCCCTTCCCCTCCTCCGAAATTGGTAATACATACATTCATTGCAAACACTTTCAAGGTCATTTTACTGCATGCTCAAGTCAGGGATGTAGCTCTATTTATAGCAGCGCAATGCAAAGCATCGTACTTTGGGAAAGCGTATATATACGCCTGCGGCAGTTAACACATCATCTGGCCGAGACGTATATATACGCCAGCAGCAGTTAAGGAACTAGTTGTAGTTCATAAAAGTTGCTTCAAAACTAAAAATAAATTGATGCAATGTAAATGAAATTTCGCTCTCTATCTGGCATATGGAATAAAAAAGATAAATTGACATTCAAGCATAATTTCAATTGCACGAACACCAGTTTTACATGCAGAAATTACACAAGACAAATGTGAAGAGACAGGTATTTCTCATAACAGCAAGATGCTTCACAGAAAAATCATTGAATTCGTACACAAAGTAAAGGAAATTAAATGAAAATAGTTAATTTCCTTTACTTAAGACAACAAAAACACACACTTTACAGGAAAAAGAGAAATGTAGCTCCAAAGAGATGTCAGTGGAATTCAGATCTGTCAGCAGAATTACATACTACAATATTTTCATAAGCACTCCTAAATTAAACTATTATTATAATAATTAACATTACAACAAAAAGTAATAATTTGTAAATATTTAAAATATTACCATAAACAAAATAGCATTAACCTAGTTTACACAAATAGTTTAGAACTTACAGATTTTATAAAAAATTTAATTTTATGATATGGATCTTCTCCACAAGTTGGGTACAGAAAAGAAATTATATGAAATAAAAAATAAGAAAAGAGCTCAATAACTTTTGAGCTAAAAAAACTCAATGAAGCCTCTTCTTGAGATATAAAATAAGAAATAAAAAATAATAAATTATTGAGAATCACGTTTTAATAACAATATAATTTTAAATATAGACATTTTTCAATAGCAATACAATTGTAACCGGTTTTTGACTTATTATGAAAGATAACAAAAACAAATGTGGTTTCTGATCAATAAAACATTAAAGACTTAAAACTTTAAGAGCAATGAAATTAAGTAATTTATAAAGATTAAGAAGAATATATTCAATGTCAATATACTTTGCTTTTTATTGTTAATAAGACAATGTTACATAGTTATTTCATATGAGTACAAAGAAGTTAAGAAATGTGAAAATGTATAGTTATATACATATAAATGTGTAGAAATATACCCTACAAAAAAAATTTTAAAAAAAAGTTTACATTGCACTTTAAAATATTAGGAAATTTTGCACATTCCTCCATTTAACAAATTTCTCAAATAAGAATAGTATAAGAAAAATGTAAAGAAAGTTCATACTGTTAAATGCAGGGTTGGGTTTTTGACGTCAAAAAGTGGTTTTTGACGTGACAAGGGTATAATACTGGTTTAAACCGTCAAAAACCCGTCAAAAACGTCAAAAACTGAAGTTTGCCAAGAAAATATATAAACTTCAAAACTACCAACAGTTGCCATGCATTATATTGAAATTTAATTATACTATAGGTAATCAGCAGGTTTTAAAATATTTTTTAATTAAAATTAAGGTAAAATAACAGATTTAAAATCTCAGAAATTTATATTCAAATGCATGTGCA